CCCCAATGCAAATCACAGCCCAGCTTCAACATGCTGTGGGGACTTTGTATATGCTTTTTTTGTCAGCCTTAGATACCCTCCTCACCCTCATCTACTTCACTCCTCTCTCTTTACCTGGTTTCTATCTAGTGGATCTTTGATTCTCAGCCTAGACATCTCTTCCTTGAGGAAGCTTCTCAGCTCTCCAGCACTCACATAGACACAACACTGCCCCTGGTATAGACCAGAAGCCCCTCCTATTTGCCCCTGTAGCACTCCCATACAACGGACTCCATACTATAACTGTCTGTTCACTGGTCTGTACCCTGTAGTCAACTGTAAACATAAAAAGTTAGCTATGTAGTTTACCTGACAGTTTGCTGACAGTTGGTCCTCAGTTTGGGATTACTGAAAAGTTTGTATGCACACTCCATCGTCCTCTTATCCCTGTCAACCTGCCCAGTGCCAGGGCACTCCATATACTGGATGGATGGATGGATGGATGGATGGATGGATGGATGGATAACCTTTCTAAACAGCTTTCAAAGGGAAACAAATGTACTAAAAATGCAGGCTTGCAAGCATGGATACATAATGGGGAATTTCTCTGCATTTTCCAAAGATTTTTCAATATAATCCTCTAGAAAGTGCCTTTCAAAGACCACTGTTGTGGTTTGAATATGAAATGTCCCCTCTTATGCTCCTTTGTTTGAACTATTTGTTCCCAGCTGGTGTGCTGTTTTGGAAGGTGTACCTATAGGAACTGGAGCCTAAGTGCAGGAAATGGGTCTCTGGGAGGTTGGTCCTGACGTTTTATAGTCAGGCCCCACTTCCTGTTCACTCTCAGCTTTCTGATGGCAGACCAGTATGATAAGACTTCTCAGGCTCCTGCCAAATGCCTGCCCTACCATAATGGACTGCATCTCTTCTTAAACTGTGAGCCACAATAAACCCTTCCTCCTTGCTTTTGGTCAGACATTCTGTCTCAGCTTTGAGAAAAGTAACTAACTCAACTCCCATATTTGAAATCTTACCATTTAAAACTATCATTTGAAAAATCCCAGGACAAGGCCGAACATGATGGCGCACACCTTTAATCCCAGCACTTGAGAGGCAGAGGCAGGGGATTTCTGTGAGTTCCAGGCCGGTGGACCTACAGGGAGACTCTGTCTCAAAAAGACCAAAATATCCCAGGACTGGATAGATGGCTCAGCAGTTAAGAGGTCCGACTGCTCTTGCAGAGAACCTGGGTTTGATTCCCAGTACCCACATGGCAGCTGTCAACTGTCCCTAACTCCAGTTCCAGGGGATCTGAAGCCTTCTTCTGACCTCCTTGGGCATTGCACAACACGGGTGCACAAATACACATGCAGGCAATACACTCATACACATAAGATAAAAATTATTTTTTTAAAAATCCCAGGGCTAGAGAGATGGTTTAGTAGATAGTATGAGAGTCTGAGTTTGGATCCCCAGCACCCACATAAAAAGCACAATATGGCAGTGCACATCTGTAATCCCAGCACTGGGAGGTGGAGACAAGAGGATCCTGGGGTTCACTGGCCAGCCAGTCTACTCAGTCAACAAGCTCCATGTTCAGTGAGAGACCCTGTCTCAAAAAATAAGACGGAGAGCAACAGAGGAAGATGCCTGATGTTCACCTCTGGCCTACACACACACACACACACATCACACATACATGACAACAACAGCAACAAATCCTAAGCCAGATAGAAGTGGCACACATTTGTAATCCTAGCACTTGGACTTGGGCAAGGTAATCACCATGAGCTCAAGGCCAGCCTGAGCTATATAGCAAGACCCTGTCTCAAAAGAAAAAATCTGGGACTGGAGAGATGGCTCAGTGGTTAAGAGCACTGGCTGCTCTTCAAAAGGACCTGGGTTCAGTTCTCAGCACCCATATGGCCACTCACAACCACATGTAACTCCATTTCCAGGGGATCCAATGCCCTCTTCTGACTTCTGAGGGCACTGTACAACACAGGTACGCTTGCAAACCTACAAATAAATAAATAAATAAATAAATAAATAAATAATCCAGAGAGGAAGCAGTTTGGGCTTTGCAGCAGCTGCTCAGTTCTGCCATAGTAGAGTTCTGAAAGCAGCCACAGGCGATGCCTACATGAACTGAAATGACTGTGTATGAACAAAATTTTATTTGTTAAAAATAAGCCGTGGTCCAGAGTTAGCCAGTGGATTATACAGTTCACCAATCCTGAAACATATCACTTGAGCACAAACCTTTCTGAATCAGGGACTTACAGTTGCCCCAAGAGAAGAAATAACCTTGTTGTATTCAAGCAACAATATGGGGGTCAATACGCAGGCAGGATGGACTCTGAAGTCAAATTGATTCCACTTACATCCCCACTCTGCCACTTATTAGCTGTGTGACTCTGGCCCAGTTACTTAACTGTCAGTTCCTTCATCTGTAAAATGGCAATAGAAGTATCTCATCATAGCTGAGCAGCTGAAAGGCTTTAATACATAAAAAGTTCATGCAACAGAGCCTGGCACATATCATGGCTGTATAAATGGTAACTTATAGGACATGAAGGGTTCCCTCTGCTTTGCACCTCGCTGGTTGAATTGTTACAGCAGAAATATTGGTAATAAAGAAAGAAATTGGAACTGGGGAGATCTCTTAGTGGGTAAGAATGCTTACTGTAAAAGTAAGAGAAGCTGAGTTCAAATCGCTAGCACCCAATTAAGAACTCTGCATGGTCATGTATGCCTAAAACCCCAGCATTGGGAGGCAGAGGCAGGTGGAGTATAGGAACTCATTAGCCAGACAGTCTAGCCAAAAAAAAAAAAAAAAGAAAAGAAAAGAAAAACAAATAACAACAACAAGCTTCCAGTTCAGTGAAAGATACGGTCTCAAAAAAATATAAGGTGGAGCACAATAGAGGAAGAGTCACAGAGTCCTCTTCTGTCCTCCACATAAATGTACAAGGACACACCCACACATGAGTATACATATACTATACCACACACACACACGCACACACACACACACACACACACGTCATAGGAGGAGGAGGAGGAGGAGGAGGAGGGGAGGAGGAGGAGGAAGGAGGAAATTATCATTCTCTCTTTTTTAAGATATTTGCAGAGATTGCAGTGCCATAGTGCACATGTGGAAGTCAGAGGACAACTTTCAGGATTTGGCGCTCTCCTTCCACTGTGCGGGTCCTGGGGATCAAACTCAGGTTGTTGGGCTCAGCAGCTAATGCCTTTAACTACTAAGCCTCTCAACCCGACTATCATTCTCCTGGTGTTTGACATCTAAACCTTGCCCCAGGAGACAGTCCCCTCAATTCATTTCAAGTCAAAATCATAATGCCATGCCCTCAGGCCTACCTTACAGCATTGTGGGGGGTTATCTCACAAACTATTAGTTTTGCAGCACAGCAGTTTAATTAGATGGTACAATGATGCATGCTGACAGTGAGGTTTTGGTTTGGTTTGGTTTGGTTTGAGACAGGATCTCATTCTCTAGTCCAGGCTGGCCTGGAACTGTGGTAATCCTCCCAGCTCTGCTTCTGTTGGAATCATAGGCTAATGTTACCACACCCCAATGGTTATGACATAAAACAAAAAGTTCATAAATGCAACAATGAATGAATGAAACTGATGAAAAGAAATAAATGGAGAGACTAGTTTTTTCAATAGCTGTGCTAAAACAATTGAATGTACACATACAAAATGACTCTCCACCTATACCTCATACATAAAAATAACTCCAAAGCCAACAACCTGAGTTCAGTCTCCACTCAGATGTGATGGTATGCATCTGTAATCCCAGCACTCCTATGTTGGCAGGTGAAAATGGAGGAAATGGCTTGAAGCTCACAGGCCAGTTATCCTGGAGTACATATCATTGAAACAAGACCGCCAGAAACAAGAACTGAATCTTGAAAATTGAATTCTGATACACACACACACACACACACACACACACACACACACACACCAATATGCTTTCCCAGCGCAGTTTACGTCTTTGTCATTCTTGTAAATGAAAAAGGATTTTCACACATCCCTAAGTCCTCTAGCCACTGACCTGTTGGTGTGCTGACGGCTTATCAAGGAGCAACAGACAAGCCCCCAGGTTCTCTTGACACCACACTGCAAGTGGACTTCAACTTCACAACATGTGAACACAGCTGAGTGTGGCAATACTGAGTTCAAGTTAAGCAGCCTGGCAGATTGGTTCGAATAGTGCTGTGGCTGCAACAAACCGTAGTGATAGAACATATGCTTGTGGTGATTTGCTTTCGACCTTCTGCTCCAAGGTCAAGGATGCTCTCCCAAGGATGCAAAAAAAAAGGGGGGAAGAACTGGGTAGAAGAAACCCAACTTCACCCATCACTGAAATACTTTGTACATGAAGCAAAGCCACCTTGAGAGAAGAACATGGTGGCAGCTCTTCACAGTCACCTGGTTAAGGGCCTTGGGTTTGGTTCTGACTCCCAAGGAAATGAGCTGTCACTAAGAGCCCCCCCCCCACAGTACCCAAGCACTCAATCTGGGCTTGGCCCCAGTGAACATATGAGAAAAGATGACCACCAGAGCCACCAAAAGGGCAGGAGGCCTGCTGTTGCCAGGTCCACCCTCATGGATCACAATGATTGCATGAAGTCATGGAATGTTGAAGATAAAAAGAAAGTGGCTCCTAAGTCACAAAGTCGTGGGTGGCTGGACATCCTTTTTACAGGGGTCCAGGGAATAGAGCTCTACCATTATTCCTGATGAGCTGAGGAGCTAGCTACCTCTCCCAGACAGAGTTGGAGACAAATCCATGCATGCCTGATTCCCACCAAAGTCGGCTCTCCCCAAGGCTTCCTTGGCTAAAAGATAGTTGTAGGTTCCCCTAGGATTCACCCTCACCAGGCAGTGCATACAGTTTGAAACAGAGGTGAATGGACAAGTGTGCTTCATAGGAAAGAAACCCTAGGGGACACGAAGCTGTCAGCAGCCCCCAAGAGAGTCCTGGCAGCATGGACAATGACGATGATGAGCCTCTTGACTCTGAAACCAAAGGTAAAAAGGCCTCCCATTTCTTACCCTTCCCCAAGGAGTATCTAATGGTCAGGTAACCAAAGCTACTTCTCTCTCTGCCTCTCTCTAAAATCAGGAGGATGTGTTGTTATACTGGGGACAGGAATTGGCAGCCACTGACTCTAGACCTGCCTATGCTAGACCTAGTCGACATCACATTCGTAGTTAGAAATCAGTCATGTTAGGAATATTTAGATTACATGAATTGACTGTACTATGAATGAGGGTGGGTGTAGGTGTGTGTGTGTGTGTGTTCCTATAGAGTCAGTTGTGATATATTTACCAGCATCCTATTGGTTGAGTGGAATTCTAAAATTGCTGGAGGGCTAGAGGGATGGCTTAGTGATTAACTTAGTGATTAACTTTCTGCTCTTCTGGAGGATTTGAGTTCAGTTGTCGCCACCCATGTCGGGCAGCTCACAATCACTTGTTAACTCCTAACTCCACGGGATCTGATGCCCTCTTCTGGCCTTCCTGGGCATCGCACACACGTGCACTTACCCCCACATAGACACACAGACGGCACACAACACACACACACACACACAAATGTTTTTTAAATTGTTTGACTAAAGAGGAAACTGAGACTTGAAGCCCATCCCTCTTCTCAGGGCACTCAGCTGTGGTCTGGGCAGCTCAGGAGCTGTCTGTCTTATGACCACAGTGAGCAAGGACCCTACCAAAACCAGCCAGGGCAGGGAACAGCCAGTCGCTAGGGAGACACGGAGATTTTGTCACAGGACTCCACCAACTATTCAGCCACAAGCAGCACTATGTCAGGAAGAGAAGTCTTGTAGAAGGGGGTCAGCCAACCAAGCAAGGCTGTTGTGTGACTGGGGAACAAAGACTGAAGACAGAACCTGGGAGCCAGTGGCAGGTGTCACCCAATGGGCTACAGTTTTATTCCCGGAATTGGATGTGTTTTTCTTCCAGATGAAACTGAAAGCACATTAGCACCTCAGAATAGTGATGACACCCTCTACTGCGAGGCCGAAGCCCCTTCGAGTGTTGAGAAAAAGAAATCCACGCAGGAGGATTCAGAGACCGACCTAGAGATTGAAGGTGAGGTGGTCTTTGAGGTGGGGTGACTGCCTCACCAGCTCCTTCAAGAGCTGGAAAAATGTGGTTCCATCAAAGACTGTGCCCAATTCTAGACCAGCTCCTCCTCTGGATTGGCTGGGGATAGCGAGCACAATATCTTCTGGGCAGGGCCCCTATCTGCTTGTTGAAGGCCAAATCAACACACAAACAAGAGTCTCTGGCTTTTAAATGTCTCCTATCTTAAATGATTTTTTTCCATAGTCTCAGGAGGTAGACTTTGTCTTTTCTAGAAGAGGAAATGGAGGCTTAAAGATTATATGAGTCCCCCAAAGTCACCAAGAGCTGGCCAAAGCTACATAAGCTGATCATACACCTGATCCACGCTGGTGACCAATATTCAGGCAGGACCCTAGAGTGTCTCTGCATCCCCAACCCAGTGACTTTCCAGTCACCTGAGAGTTCTTGTTTCTCCTGCTTGAAAGTCCCAAGTTCTGCCTCAATAAATGTAAGCATTTCTCATTATCTACGCTGGTGTAGCTAAAGCAAATAGTCTGTTCTCAAAAACACTTCCAGCATCCTACCTTTCCCCAAAGAGAGAGGCACCAAAAAGAACATTTGTGAAACAACAGGATAATGATGTTGGGGACAGCCTCTGGATTTGCAAGCTAAAGCTAGCCCAAGTCACCCTTCACCTCCTATGATTTTTGTTGTTGTTGTTGTTGTTCTTGGTTGTTGTTGTTGTTTTGTTTGGGTTTTGGTTTATTGAGGCAGTTCCATATAGCCCAGGCTGGCCTTGAACTCACTACATAGTCAAGGACGACCTTCCAAGTGCTGAGATTACTAGTATGCATCATGATCCCAGCCTCTCTTGTGTTCTTGGATGTGGGTGGCAGACTGATTTCCAGGCAGCAGAGATTTGGGGGTGGGGTGGGGGGCACAGGCCAGAAAATCCTACTAAATGCCCTGATACTCACATAGTCAGCTTATTAGACCTTCCCACCACAGTCATCATACAAACTCCCCCTTCTACCCAGACCTATGGCTCCCCAGATATCCCGTGGCTCTATTTCTGACATCTATACTTCAAGGCTGTCACTAATTCTGCTTTTAACATCTGGGTTTTTTTTTTTACCCAGTTGGAGAAGGCAGCAAAAAATCAACACTGGATGTTTTGCCCAAGGCTCCTGCTTCCAGCTCATTTCCTTAATTCCTTTGTTCCTGATCTGGTAGCACTGTTGCAAGCTGTCTCTAAAATATAACTATGGTAATTCTAGCTAGAAAGGGTTAGCTCAAGGGGCAGAACAGAATCATTCCCCAGGACAAAAATGTTCCCAGGACAAAATTACTTTCCCTTCTTTGGCTAACAGGAGCTTCTAGTGGTTGAATTTGTTACCAAGAAGAAATTGAGACTTGACTACTGTCATTCCTAGTTCAGCTGACACTGGTGCTAAGATGGGGAAATGGAGGAAGGGCTTGCTGGTGGGGAGTCTACAGGAGTAGGTTGGAGGTACAGCTTGCTCACCCTCCACCGTTTCCTGTACAACAATGGTTGTCACCCAGAGGCAACTGTGCACCCAGAAGACATTTGGCTAGCTCATTGTAAATACAGGCCAGGAAATCCTACTAAATGCCCTACAATCCCCAGGACAGCCCTCACAACAGAGAAGAATCCAATGCAAAATGTCAGTAGTGTAGACTGAGGAGCCTGCCATGCAGTCATTCTAAAGAGAAGGCCAGTTTGTAGCTGTACTTACAAAATCAGCCTCCCGGTAAAGCTGTCATTTCCCCCAACAGAGCTTCATTGTCTGCCTTAGAAATGCTTGGGGTGGGTTGGCCAAAGGTCTTGGGATCCAAAAGAAAAACAGATGCAGACCTAGATGCCAGCTGGCCACAGTAGGCTCTGCCACTGACTGGATTTGCCTAATGAGGACACAGCTGTGAGATCTCTGGACTCCTAAAAGGCCTGATGCCCATTGACTATGGGACCAGGCTAGACTGAAGCTTAAGGAATAAAAGTCCCCAAGGAATTTCAATGGAGAGATGGGGTGCCTGTTCTGTTACCAGTGATCAGCTATGGAATCTGTGCCCACATTTATTACTGGGGAAGCAGGGTTGTAGGTGGGAAAGCCCACTGAGGTGGGAGAGCCTACAGAGGTGCAAATTTGCTTATTTCTGAGGAATTTTCAGTTTCCACCTTGGGCTGATTTATCATCATGAGACTATTACTGGAGTTGTTAGAATGTAGCCACATTGCGAAGAGAAACAAATAATCCTGGAATGATAATATTCCCAGGCTTTGGGAACCAAACTAAATTCTTCTCTGAAGAAAACACAGTAAGCCTAGGTTTCCCAAAGTAATAATAAAAAACACATGAACAGGTTGGGCATGGTGGCACAAGCCTTTAACTCCAGCACTTGGGAGGCAGAAGCAGGCAATCTCTGTGAGGCTGAGCCCAACCTGGTCTACATGGCAAGTTCCAGACCAGCGGGGGCTATAGGAAAGAAAGAAAGAAAGAAAGAAAGAAAGAAAGAAAGAAAGAAAGATACAATTAATAGTGAAAAGCCAAAAAAAAAAAAAGTTTTTTTTCGTTTCCACCTTGGGCTGATTTATCATCATGAGACTATTACTGGAGTTGTTAGGATCAGAGCCCTTGTTGTTCAGTGCCTGGGCCCTGGTGGCCCTAACAAAGGAAACTCCACTACCCATCTTCAATAAATCAACTAAAGATACAACTAAAGACACTCCTTCAATCCCAGCACTCAGGAGGCAGAGGCAGGTGAATCTCTGTGAGTTTGAGGCCAGCCTCATCTGTGTAGTGAGTTCCAGGCCAGCCAGGGCTACATAATGAGGTCTTGATGCAAAAATAAATAAAATAAAGAAAGAAAGAAAGAAAGAAAGAAAGAAAGAAAGAAAGGGTTATTTCTGAGGAATTTTCAGTTTCCACCTTGGGCTGATTTATCATCATGAGACTATTACTGGAGTTGTTAGAATGTAGCCACATTGCGAAGAGAAACAAATAGATCCAGTGCCCCCCTCCAGTTCATTTCCAGGGTTCTAATATGAGGTTTAGATTTAAATAGAGAGCAAGAAGTGTGCAAGCTATGCAGGTCCCCATCAAGGTGTGGTCCAACTCATTACCATGGGCTCAGTTCGAATCTCTCCTGCAAGGTGGCCTGACAACTTGTCAGAGCTATATGAACTTACTTTCTGGGAGACAAGTTCCTCCTCGGACTAGTGCCTGACTTTAACCTTTTCCTTCATCCAACCTAAGACTCCTGGTGAATTCTAATTTCTTAGAGTTCATTGTTTCAATAGTCTGATAGCCAAAGGGAGGGGGGCACAAATGATTCTAGAAAAGACTTCAGCTTTTAAAAAATTTTTATTTGTTATTTTTATTTTATGCGTATGGGTGTATTGCCTGCATGTATGTAAGTGCATCTGAGTCATGCAATGCCTGCATGTATGTAAGTGTACCTGTGTCATGCAATGCCTGCAAAGGTCAGAAGAGGGTGCCAAATCCTCTGGAACTGGAATTACAGATAGTTGTTAGCCACCATGTGGATGCTGGGACCCGAACCCAGGTCCTCTGCAGGAGCAGCCAGTGCTCTTAACCGCTAAGCCATATCTCCAGCCCCTGCTTTTTTTTTTTTTTTAGGTTGGTATTTCTCTAAATCTTCAGCAAAGATTGTTTATGAGTCACACTTTTCTGTGGTGTTGGGGATCAAATCAAGCCCTAACATAGCTAGGTATCACTCTACGGCTGAGCTGCATGGCTCATGTCTTAACAGTGCTACTAAAACAAAAATCGAAGTAGAGACTCCTTCACTATCAAAAGTTGCCAGCTTTGGGCTGCTATTTTTACCTCTCAGTGCTGTCCCAAGGTGCACAGAAATGTTGGGACTTTATATACCCCCTGGTAAAATGTCACCAACCTGGGAAGGTGACCAAGAGAGCACCTTTGAAGACCTGGAGTCTAAATCCACTGTCCCCTTCTTTTAACCAAAGGGTCATTTCCATTGGGGCTGTCTGGAATTAGTGTTCCCCTCTCAGACTGCTGGTTGACTTTGGGGTTGGAATTTGCTTCTAGATCAGGACTTCTTAAACTTTTTCCATTCACAACTACTCATCAGAGAAATTTTTACACAGCCCTGAGTGTGTGTGTGTGTGTGTGTGTGTGTGTGTGTGTATACAAATCTAATATTTACTAATCCAATATTTACTGATAATAGATCATTGTTTTGTTTTAAAATAATTATTTAACATATATTTATAACTTTACAGTTACTAAGGATGAAGAGCAAAGTCACATACTGATCAAAAGCACTTGCTTATTTTTAACAGAAACAATTGTGTCTTGGTTGAATGTTTGATATTGCAGGATCTAGAGCATCTCCAATGTTTTTCAGAGTTGATCAATACTTTGATTTTATAATCATCAGGGCTATCTTACATAGAAATGTAGTACAAAATGATAGAAGCATAAGCATGAAGGCCTGAGTTTAATCCCCAGAACCCACATGAACATTCTGAGTGTGGCGGCTTGCTCTTGTAATAATCCCAGCTCTGGGATGCAGAGACAAGCAGATCCCTGGGTCCCACTGGGCTGCCAGCCTCGCCTATTCAGCAAGTCCCCAGACAATGAAAGACCCTGTCTCAAAAAACAAGGTGGCCACATCTGAGGAATAACACTTGATGTTGATTTCTGGCCTCCACATGCACACACATGCACATACACATATGTATAAGTAGGACCATCCCAGATATTGTCAGAAATTGTGTCCTAATCCCAAGCAAAATTCATTTAACAATTTTTTTGTGTGTGAAACACAAATCAACAACTCAAATAGCAGTTGTTAAAAGCAGACACTGGTAATACAATACAATCCAAAGATGCACCAATTTGATATCTATACACTGCGGACTGATGGTAGAAAAATATTAAAAAGTCTTTGTGTTCCATAATTAAACCATTCTGTTTCTATAAGAGCAGAAAAGTTTGTATGTACAGTAAGATACCCTACAAGTAAAAACATGCAAGACTCGAATCTGAGCTGAGGTGTTTCAGTGTTCATTCTTTGTGTGGTATAACAGCGTGTGGCATTAACAAAGTGTGCATGTTGTATGTTCAGGATAAGGCTGCTATGAAGATGTGAGATGCAGAACACAAGCAATGTCAGAAACACCTCAGATTCATCATACATTTGATTTGGAATTAAGTTTTGGTCATTGCATATTCAGAAAACTTTTTACTGTTGCAATTTTCTGCAACTCCCACACTTTATTGCAGGATCCTGTATAGCACACCACTCACAAAGTGTGCTCTAAAACCTGTGTTCTAGAGCACACACCCACAGGGACAGATCCCGGGCAGAGGGAAGTTCAGGAGAAATGTCTCCTGGGGCTGGGAGGGAGCTAAGACAGAGTAGAAGAGAAACCTTATTTCGTGCTGTCTTTCTGTGCAGACACAGAGAAGTTCTTAACCATTGGACAGAAGGAGCTGTACCTGGAAGCCTGCAAACTGGTGGGTGTAGTGCCTTCCTCCTACTTCATCCGGAACATTGAGGAGGCCACCATGAACCTCAACCACCATGGGCTGGGCCCCATGGGTACCAAGGCTATTGCCATAACCCTGGTGGTAAGCACACTGGCCAGGGGAAGGAATCAAACCTGGTGGAGGAGGGTCAACAGGGTGGCTGGCTTGAGATTTGAAGGGTCCCATCTTTGGAGTCTACAGTGTAGCTTGTATCTCCACCTGTCCTGGGCTCTGCTCAATCACTGGGAAGGCTGCCACTGTTGTCCCCTTTAGCTCATAGAAGGGTCTATACTTTGAAGACTATGCTCTTTCCCACTGAGGAAACAAGACATCAGCCTGTGGGCCCCAGAAAAGTGGCTGGACTAGAACCAGGCCCAAGAGTTAATGCAAGTACAAAATGCAGGCCTGGGTCTCCATTCCAAAGCAGACTTTGACTCTACATGGGGCAGCGACTGACCCACTCCCTTCAATGTCTGTCTTTCACATGATCATTTTTAAATGTTTTTTAAAAATATTTTATTATTTTTATTTTATGTGTATGAATGTATTGCCTGCATGTATGTGAGCACACTTGTGTCGTGCAATGCCGCGGAGGTCAGAAGAGGGCTTCAGATTCACCTGGAACTGGAGTTAAGGCCTGCTGGGAATATGTTGTACAATGCTGCGGAGGTCAGAAGAGGGCTTCAGATTCACCTGGAACTGGAGTTAAGGCCATGTGGTTGCTGGGAATCGAACCTGGGTCCTCTGCAAGAGCAGTCAGTGCTCTTAACCACTGAGCCATCTCTCCAGCCCCTTACGTTATCATTTTTAAAGACCACACTGCAGAGTAAATCACGTTTTCCCACAGAAAATCATGTTATCTCTTGGCTTGGCATAATCAAACAAGGGCTTGACCTTAAATTCACTGATTTATATAGTTAATTACATACAAAACTGGCTCACAGTAGAGAGAATCTGACAATTGTATGTGAGTACCACCCTGGTTTTTCACCTAAGAAGGAGAAGAGAAATTTTGATTTAGAAGAAGCTAGCAAGGTGAATAGGCAGATGGGGATATTTATTTATTCATTCATTCATTTATTTAATACAGGGAATATTTTAAAAATCAGTAATTACAGGGCTGGGAAGATGGCTCAGTTGGTAAAGTGCCTGCCATACTAGTAAGAGGAGATGAGTTCAGATCCTCAATACTCACTTAAAAGCCAGGTGTGATGGTGTACATCTGTAATCCTGGTTCTGGTGGGGTGGAGACCTGCAGATCTTTGAATCTCACTGGCCAGCCAGCCTAGCCAATCGGTGAGCTGTGGAAACAGTGAGAAACTATGTCTCCAAAAAATAAGGTGGCGGGGCTGGAGAAATGGCTCAGTAAGAGTACTGACTGCTCTTGCAGAGGACCTGGGTTCAATTCCCAGCACCCACATGGCACCTAACAACAGTTTGTAACTCCAATTCCAGGGGAATTTGATGCCCTCTTCTGACCTCTACAGGTATTACATGACACAGGTGCACTAATACACATGCAGGCAGTACACTCATACACATAAAATCAAATAAATAATAAAATATTTTTAATTTTTTGGTTTTTTTTTTCTTTTTGAGACCGGGTCTACCTGTAGCCCCAGCTGTCCTGGAACTCACTATGTAGTTCAGGCTGGCCTTGAACTCACAGAGATCTGCCTGCCTCTGCCTCCCGAGTGCTGGGACTGCAGGCATGCACCACCATGCCCAGCAATAATAAAATATTTTTAAAAATAAGGTGGAGACCAATAGAGGAAGACAGCTGACATCAACCTCTGGCCTCCTTATGCACATATGCACACATGCATGTGTACAAGTGCACATGCCCATGTGCTTACACACAAACACACACACACACACACACATACACACACACACACATACACATACACATACACACACACATACACACACACACACACACACACACACACATACACATACACACATACACACACACACACACACACATTTTTTAAATCAGTAATAATGCTGCATGTGGTAGCACATTCCTGTAATCCGAGCACGTGGGGCGGGGGGGGGCTGAGGCAGGAGGATCAAGGGTTAAAAGACATCTTGGCCTCATATCGAGTTCCAGGCACTCCTGGATTATATGAAACCCTGCCTCAAAATAAAATCACTAGTCTTTAAATTATCCATAGATAGAACAGAAAAACAGAAAAGACTAAGAAAGAACCTTAAAACATTCTTTTAGGAAGGATCAGAGGGGCTGTAGAGATAGCTCAGTGATTAAGAGCACTGGCTGCTCTTGCAGAGGACCCGGGTTCAGATCCCAGCACCCACATGGTGGCTAACAACTGTCTGTAACTTCAGTTCCAGGGGATCCGACACCCTCTTCTGACCTCCGCAGGCATTGCATTATACAGGTGCACTCACATGTGTGTAGGCAATACACTCATACACACAAAATAAGAATAATAAAGAAAATATTTTAGAAAGGATCTGAGAAGAGAAAGAAGTGGCAAGTTCGTAAGGAACAAGCAGTGGCCTGGTGAAGGCAGCTAGTTAGAGTTATGAAACAAGTGTCAGGAAGATGAAGTTGGCTGGTTCAATGATGCAGCAGTCTAAGAAGATGAATGAGGAAGGCAACTCTGGGCTTCGAAGCCTATCCAATTACAAAACATATAGCAATTTCCAAAGCCTTGCAGTACACCATCCTTGTTCATCACTGGAACACAACCACTGTCAGAAGCTACTCAAGGCATACAGAAAGCCATAATCTTGTGACACTCCAAAGGATGGCTCACCCTCTGCCCTGTTTGTATCCTCTCAACTCATTCAGATTCCCAGCCTGCATCTCCATATCATCTATATTTGTCCTTATCCATTACCAAACTACTTGAAGCTGAGTGACTGCATAAAGAAAAGAGGCTTACTTTGCTAACTGGGCTCAAGGGCATCGTGCTGGCATCAGCTCTTCTCTGGTGATGGCCTCAAGGCATGACAATGGAAGGAATGAGCATGAGAGGGAGAGATCAAACAATGAGACAGCCAGAAGGAAGGATACACAGGAAGAGCCAGTAACCATCTTCCACTGGACCCCACTTCTTTTTTATATATTTTATTTATTATTTTTATTTTATGTGTATGAGTGTATTGCCTGCATGTATGTGAGTGCACCCATGTTGTGCAACGCCACGGAGGTCAGAAGAGGGCTTCGGATTCCCCTGGAACTGGAGTTAAGGATGGTTTGTAGCCGCCTTGTGGGTGCTAGGAATCAAACCAGGGTCCTGTGCAAGAGCAGTCAGTGCTCTTAACCACTGAGCCATCTCTCCAGCCCCTGGACCCCACTTCTTAAAGGTCCCACTAACACTTTTGTGTGTGGAGGGGAGAATATGTTTGTGTGTATGTGTGTGCATGGATGAATGCACAGGTGTGTGCATTTGTGGAAGTGGGTGTCTTTCTGTATTCTCCCCACCTTTTATGAGTCAGGGTCTCTCAATGAACTTTTAGTTCACTGATTCTGCTACACTGGCTGGCCACCAAGTCCCAGAGATCCTCTGTCTCTACCTTCCCAGTGCTAGGATTATGGGCCTGTACCACCATACCAGGCTTTTTATGTTGGTGTTGAGGATTTGAACTCGGGTCCTCATGCTTGTGAAGTAAGCACTTTACCTACTGAGCCATCTGTAAAGCCTCCATGGTCCCACTAACTCTTAACATAGCCACAGTGGGGACCAAAGCCTCCAACATGGCACTCTCTCAATGGTTGGAATGTTCTAGAAAGAAGCCAAGTTCTAGACCAGAAAAGGCAAGGAACCAACTCAGTCACCAACCACTTCTTTGTCTTTCTCCCTCTTCCCTTGTGATGGCCCAAGTCCAACACGACCATCCTCAAACTGGAGCTGGAGGACAATTGCATCATGGAGGTGGGCATCTTGAGTCTAATGGAGATGCTGCAGGAGAACTACTACCTCCAGGAGCTGGTACGGTGCCCTCCCCCTCCAGCTCCTCCCATCACACCTGGAGAGTCAGAACCACTCAAGCCGAGCCAGAGCCCCCCCTCCCCACCCCCCGACTAGGACCAGGTCAGCTTTGCACCATCTCTAACCAGTCTACAGGGGTCCTCTCCTCTAGAAACAGCTTCCCAGAAGAGGGCCATGTGTCAGAGGCTGACTCAGGCAACTGTGTTCCCTGTGGCTGCAGGAAACCTAAAAAGCCATTTCTGGTTGCACTTTACAAGTCCCCTAATGGAATAATTTACCTATACTGACATAAATTGAGGGGTTTTTTTTTCCTTTTTAAGTTGGGGGAGGGGCACGTAAGATAAGGTCCCCTAATGGAATAATTTACCTATACTGACATAAATTGAGGGGTTTTTTTTCCTTTTTAAGTTGGGGGAGGGGCACGTAAGATAAGGTCTACCTTCTCATGTAGCCCAGGATGATAATGAATTTCTGATGCTCCTGTGCTCCCAAGCACTAGGATTACAGGTAAGTACTACCATATCCTGTTTATGTGGTACTGGGGATCCAACCCAAGGCTTCACGCATGCTAGGCAAGCACTCTACCAACCAAGCCATATCTCAACCCCAAGTGAATTTTTGTTTTTCCTGGAACTAGCCATATATACCAGGCCTCGAACTCACAGATATCTGCCTGCCTCTGCCTCCCAGTTCCAAAAACAACCATGCCTGCCACAAGTGAACTTCCTTAAAGAAAATAAAGGCATGAAATCATTGCTTAAAACACAATATGCCTAGAGACAGATGGTGGTGATGTCTGTATAAAAATGGGAATATTTTAATGCTACTGAAAGGTACACTTAAAATGGTTGAGGTGGCAAGTTTTATATATTATTTACCACCATAAATTTTTTAAGAGGGAGAGGAAATCAAGTGATACATAATGGCTCTCTCGTGCAGAGTCTCTCCCACTAGCACTAGTCTCTCCCACATGTGCCCTCACTTCTCCCTAGGATAGCAATTCATGCTTCATGGTTCAGTGAATGGAGTTCACAATGATCATTTGTTCTAAACGCATTTCAAATTCTGCTAATGAATCTGCCTTGAGTTTCAAAACGAATAACCAATGTGCTTATCGAAAGTACCAGAGCTAAATTAAGGGACTGGGAAATCACTGAAGAGAACTTCAGAGAAAAATGAGACCTCCTGGGAGGCATTAGAGAAGCCAGATCACGGACCATCTTTCCTGCCTCGCTTCTCTCTGTCCTTTGCACTACCCTAATCCTAACCCTTTCACCCCCCCCTACTCTCTCAGTCATCCCCACCTGCCCCCCTTTCCTTGTTTTCGAGGGCCCTTTCGAGAGAGCCTACCTACTCACATGTGTTCTTACTGCTTAGAATCTTTCCAACAATGATCTTGGTTTGGAGGGGGCCAAAATCATCTCAGACTTCCTCCAGGAAAATAACTCTGCACTCTGGAAACTGAAACTTTCAGGTGAGCTCATGGAAGGGGAGGAGAGGACACTGGGAATAAAGGGAGAAGAGAACAGAGAGAATTCCAGGTTTAGTTGAACCACACCAGGTCCTTCTGGTCTCCGATTAGGACACTGCATCTTCCCCCTCCTAGGCCAGTCAACCTTCCCCTCCAAGGCCACACGGGCTCCCTGCTTTCCTTAAGCCACTCTGCAGCACTCTTCTCTACCCTCAGGTGTCTGCCTGGCTTATATACAATAGCTTACTCTATTGTTTCGCCATGTCTCCATTCACATGTCATCTCTTGAAGGGACTTCCCTAACTTTTCTTAAAACAGCAGCACTCCATCACCGTCACTCTCTGTCCTCTAATTGGCTTGATGGTTTATTTCCATTTGATCTATTGCATACCTTTTTTTTTTTTTTTTTTTTTTTTTTTTTTTTTTTGTCTTTTTGAGACAGGGTCTCCTTGTAGCCCCAGCTGTTCTGGAACTCACTTTGTAGACCAGGCTGGCCTCGAACTCACAAAGATCCGCCTGCCTCTGCCTCCCGAGTGCTGGGATTAAAAGCGTGTGCCACCACTCCCAGCTTGCATAACTATTTTTAAATGAGTTTATCATCTGTCTGTTACTGGGTAAAAATCAAGGTTACCTGAGATTTCTAGTTCCCACTGACCTGCCCTCATTTAGGTTTGCAGATTTATGCTGTCTGCTGCAGGCTCCTGGAATTTTTATGGCAAGAAATGAACATGAAGAATGGTCCTACGCTGGTAATAACATGACTTCTTTGGAGATGAGCCCTTGATCCAGTCTGCTTTCCCATAGATAAGCTCCACTTCAAGTAGGCTCATGGTCCAAAATTGCAAAACTAACAAGGAAACAAAATGCCATGAGAATTGTCAAACTCAAAGGTGGATCCAGAGACTGGGGAGATGGCTCAGCAGTAAGAGCATTTACTGCTCTTCCAGAGAACCCAGGTTCAGTTCCCGGTACCCACATGGTGTCTAACACCCATCCTTAATTCCAGTTCCAGGGGATCTAATGCCCCTCTTCTGCCCTCCACTGGCATTGCACACAGGCAGTGTGTTTACATACATGCAGGCAAAACACTCCTATACATAAAATAAAAATAAATAAAATCTTTAAAGGAAAGAAGATGAACTCTCACAATTCCAGAAAATAGAATTGTCAGATACAAATGACAAACGGAGTTGCCATATAATCTGTCACACAAGGATTGGGGATAAGCTCAATGATGGAGCATTTGTTTAGTATCATGAAGTCCCAGGTTTTACACCCAGCACTGCAAATAATAATAACAGTAATAACACTTTGTCACCCAAACTGAATAGGGGTACTATTAGTGAACAAAAACTACAGACAAATTGAGATGCCTTACGCCCAACTATAAATATATTTAATGAAACAAGGTATGGTAGCTCATACCTGTAACCACAGAACTTAGGGGATAGAACCAGGATGACCAGGAGTTCAAGATCATCTTCCAGTACATAATGAATTTGAAACTAGCTTGAGCTATAGAAGACTCTTACTCGAAACACAGAAAAAATGATTAATATGATTAATAACTTAAAGAAGACTGTCTCAAAAACCAAGGCAGCAGTTGGGGGCAATATCTGACAAAGATCTCTGGCCTCCACACACGTGTATCCATATGCACATATGCTAATATGTATACACCTGAACATATACACACAAAATAATACTAATAACACTAATTTTTTTGGTGTTTTTTGAGACAGGTCTCCCTGTAGTCACAGCTGGCCTGGAGTCACTATGGAGGCCAGGCTGGCCTTGAACTACAGAGATCCACCTGCCTCTGCTTCCTGAGTGCTGGGATTAAAGGTATACACCACTACACCTGGCTAATAACACTAATTTTAATTCAGAGACTGGAGAAATGGCTCAGCAGTTAAGAGCACTGGGTTCAGTTCCCAACACCTATATGGTAGCTAACAACCATCCATAACTCCAGTTCCGGGGATCTTACGCCCTCTCCTGGCCTCCATGGCCATTGCACACACAGGTGCACTTACATACATGCAGGCAGAGCACTCATACACATAAAATAAATAAATAGGCCGCTCTGCAGACGCCGCTGTCCTCTGTAGCCGCTCGCTGTCAGCCATGGTCAATCCTACCATGTTCTTCGACATCGCGGTCGATGGCGAGCCTTTGGGTCGTGTCTC